ACACCCAAATGCCCACAGCAGCCAAGGCTGCACTATGCCAAAGCTGGGAGCTGGAAATGTAATCTAGGTCTACCATGTGGATGGGAAGGACCCAAGCATTTGAACCATCATCACTGCCCCCTAGAAAGCTGGGATTAAAAAAGAAGCTGGGACTCTACCCTAGGAACTGTGACATGGGATGTGGCACTACAACCAACCTCCTAACTACTAAGCCAAATGCCCTCCTGCCCTTTGCTATTGAATTTTGAGAAGTCTTACTTTTTCTAGATACTCTTCCTTCACTGATAAGCATTTTAAAAATATTTACTTCCAACCCATGACATTTCTTTTCTTTCTTTTCACCTGGGCTTTCATAAAACAGTTTTTTTTTCTTTTGATGATACTCCATTTATTAATCTTTTAGTGGACAGTATGCATTTGGTGTTTACAAGGTCCTAGATCCTAAAAATGTTCCCCTGTATTTTCTTCTAAAAGTCTTACAGTTTTATGTTTTATGTTTAAATTTGTGATCCATTTTGAATTAATTTTTGTATTTGAGAGGGGTTAGGGTGAAGTTGTTTTTTTTTTTGTTTTGTTTTGTTTTTTTTTTTGTTTTTTTTTTGTTTTTTGTTTTTTTTTTTTTTTTTAGTATAATCATCCAACTGCTTCAGCCCTATTTATTGTATGACTGACTGTCTTTCTCCTCTTGAGTTGCTTTTGTTCCTTTGTTGGGAATCCATTGAGCATATTCATGTAGGTCTATTTCTGATCTCGAGTTTGTTCTGTGTATTTATCCCTCTGCCAACCCTATACTTTCTTGATCACTATGGCTATTAAAAAAAAAAGCCCTGATATTAAGTATAATGATTCTTTTTAGTCAAGATTATCTTAACTGTTTTAAGGCTACTGCTTTACCATATGAATTTTAGATCTACAAAAAAATAAAAATAGGGGCTGGCGCTGTGGCTCACTTGGTTATTCCTCTGCCTGCAGCACCGGCATCCCATATGGATGCTGGGTTCTAGTCCAGGTTGCTCCTCTTCCAGTCCAGCTCTTTGCTGTGGCCCAGGAAGGCAGTGGAGGATGGCCCAAGTGCTTGGGTGTCTGCACCTGCATTGGAGACCAGAAAGAAGTACCTGGTTCCTGGCTTTGGATTGGTGTAGGTCCGGCCGTAGCAGCCATTTCGAGGGTGAACCAATGGAAGGAAGACCTTTCTCTCTGTGTCTCTCACTGTCTCACGCTATCTGTCAAATAAATTAAAAAAAAAAAAACTAAAACAACATGCTTGAATTTTTATAGGAATTGAATTAAACTTACATGCCAATTTAGGGAGAATTGAAAACTGTATTTAGTCTAACTTTCCATGAACATAGTATGTCTCTTCATTTATTTAGGTCTTTATGGTTTTTTCTTCTTTTTTTATCCATATCTTATAATTTTTTATATAAAGATACTGTGTATGCTTTGTATTATTAATCTAAGTTTTTCACATTATTTGTTATTAGTACATACATATTATATCCTCTGATCTACATAACTTACTTATTAGTAATAAGAGGTTTTTTCCAGATTCCTTTTGATTGCCAATTTAGACAATCATATTATCTCAAGAAGTATAGTTTTATTTCTTCCTTTGTTCCTTATTGCAGTAACTGGAACATCTAATTCTGTGTTGACTAAAAATGTTGAGAATGGACATTCTTGTCACATTTCTAGCATGAGGGGGAAACTTTCATTTATTCACCATTAAATACAGTGCTACTTGTAGTTCTTTGTTGACTTTATTAGTTATGTTGCTTTATTTTAAAGACTAGGTAATTAGAGACTCTAGTGGAAAGACTCTAGTTTGCAAGAATTGAGGAAGAGAAAAGTTAGAAAAGTCTCTACCCAGTAAATACTGGACTACAGTTTATTTATTTTTTTAATTTCTGGGCAGAGATGTTGTCAGTATGATTCTTGCCAAAACTGAACTGCATACAGCATGACCTGTGTTTGGGTTACTTGTGTAATCTGTCAGATATTTTAGTAATTGGAGGTTTTTATACATTTATAATACTTTTCTCTCATAGTTCCCAGCAAAGGGAGTAAAAATATTGCTTTTCTTTGACTATGACATATGTGGTCTTATGCATCAGCACTTTTCCCATGTTGATCCCTCTGTCTGACAAAAATAAATAAAAAAACCTGCCCCCCCCAACCCCACCTACATCACACGAACCATCTAATTGGCCAACCTGTACTCTTTGAGATGTCATTCTTTTGTGTACTTACTGCCATTTCAGCAAGTGCCATTTAAAATGCCATTCTTGGCCTTGTTTGTCTTTTTCACCTTGAAAGTATACCTTCATACCTTCAAAACCTAATGTCTAGTGGACTGGAGATTTATAAGCTTTCAATGAATATTTATTTAATAAGTGACTTGGACGTCCCTTGCGCTACTTGCATATTTAATAGATTCTCTATCTCCAAGACATTTTCATAAGTTCCAAAAAATTTGAGATGTATTAAGATACATAATCTGAATTGAACCTTATACATATTAATGGTAAACTACAAAGTGGTAGGTACTTGGTGTGGTTAAGGTTCTGAGATTAATTCAGATCCTTGGATTTAACCCCCAGAGATCCTAATTCACTGATCTTTAAAATCTCAGATGATAATGATGCAAGTGATCCTTGGACTATGCTTTGAATAACATTAGCTAAGCATTCAGGAGATACTGTCTTATGGGGGAAAAATCCCACTGAAGTCCCAATGCTGTGTTCTCAAAAAAGCCCTGAATATCAGATGGGAGCCACCACTGTTGTTTTCCTTGGCTGTCCCTCATGCTTGTGTTCCATGTGGCTGCATCAGGTCTCCAAAACCATGCCTCTTGCCTTCACGTGTTGCAGAGAGGATATCAGTGCAGGTGTCCATACCAGAGGGCAGATCTGAACCAGACAATGTTTGTGCTGAAGCACAAGAGGATTTTACCTTTGGAGGAGTCAGTGTTGGTTTCTGGGATTTTGTACATGTGTGTGTGTTTGTGTGTTCATGTTCTAGTTACAATCTTGTGGAAAGCTTCTGCAATATGAAATAGTGTAGCAGAAGAAGACAAAGCATTGGGCAAGAAAACAACAAAGATGATACATACTTAGTTTTGAAAAAAGTAGTATTTGGAAGTTCTTTTTCCATGGTTAGGTCACAATCTGATCTGATGTGCTTTCTCATTTAGCCCTTGGGGAATATTTGAATGGTCTGGTTTTTCAGTTTCAATTCAGCTACACTTCAAGAGCCTCAATGTTTTAAGAATATTGCATTTTAGTTGCAGATTGAGTTGATAACAGTGCTTTGTAGTATGATTTCTGTAAGGTACCTCTGGTTAAAGTGAGGGCATTGCACTTTTTCTTGTTTCCTGGGCATAAAGTGTATGTGAGTTTGCTGAATCACTTTATTCCATATTTAAAACCTAGTAATTTAACACCATATTTCAGGAGCAATAAAATAAAGCAAGTTGGCCACCTTACTTCCTTCTGCCAAACTGATTTATGGTGCTTAGAATATTCATAAGTGTCTACAGGTTGTGGCTTCATCAATATGAAGACAATTATTGTGCTTTTCTCCATTTTTCAAAAAACCGTGAAATTTTCCAAGTTATATTCTAGAACACATACACTGCCTCACTTTGTACAGTCACCATTAACATAATCTATTTCAACCCTTAAGCTCCATGATGTGAGTATACTCTTTCACATGTTGACAATGCAATTGTTCTGGTACAGAAAGTGACACCATCGAGTCTACTGACTGTGTAATTCACAAGCATTTTTTCTGAAGTTGGAGTTAAGAAAATAAATCTTTCTTTCTTCCCATAGACTTTTATGATGCCAATAGAATTTTCTCTACTGTAGTCTAAAGCTAGAAAACACGAATAATTATTTGCTATCCTGGATTATTATTGGAGGAAATTAAATGTTTTCTAACAATAACCACTGATAATCAAGATGGTATTTGTGACAGATTACTAAATACTTGAAAAAATATTATGATGGCTGTAATGATCATTTTTATTTTTAAAGCTATAAATTTTTTAATCATTCATTTTATTTATTTATTTAAAAGACAGAGTTACAGAGAGAGGTAGAGACAGAGAGAGGTCTTCCATCCATTGGTTTACTCCCCAGATGGCCACAATCACTTGAGCTGCGCCATCCAAAGCCAGGAGCCAGGAGCTTCTTGGGTCTCTCACATGGGTTCAGGGGCCCAAGGGCTTGGGTCATCTTCTGCTTTCCCAGGCCATAGAAGAGAGCTAGATCAGAAGAGGAGCAGCTGGGACTAAAACCGGCACCCATATGGGATTCTGGTGCTTTAGGCCAGGGCTTTAACCCGCTGCGCCACAGCGCCGGCCCCTAAAGCTATAAATTTAAAAAGCATATACAGGTTTAATTTACTATTATCCATCGAATCCTAATTACTTGGTAATTTCAGTGGCACATGTCTTCTACAGAGCCTTTCAGGGCATGGGACAAACAGGACTTACATCCAGAAGCTCAGTACTTCCAAGTCTATTTGTAAATAACAACAATTATAAGTAGAAGAAAATCCCAGGCTTTCTAGAAAAATCCTTAAATAGTTGTTCATTATTATAAGCTGAAGCTAAAAGTCATCATGATATAATGAATCACTGTGGCAGATGTGGAAATCGTACTATTCATATTTATTTTCAACTCAGGATATTTCCTTTCCTTTGAATAATATTGCTTGCTTAATTCATTCTAATATATGTTTCACGGTTTCAGATAGTCCTTCGCCAGTTTTTGACACTGGGATGGGAGTATATCTATATTGTATTGCTGAACTTCCTAGAAACCTTAAGAAAGAAATCAAAATCCCACTTTTCTTCCTCAAAATAAATGCTGTCTTCTGGAAGTTCCTATGAAGAGATTTTTCAAATTTCTTTCCAAAAGAAAGATATTGCTTGGTATAAAAATTTAATTGCATTATCCTTTCTGAAATTCAGTTTTGTTTTGTCTTCAAATCAGATCTTGAAAATTTTAAAACTAAAATGAGAAGTACGGTGTCAGTGCGTGAAGGCCAGGGAGTCGTCCTGCTCTGTGGACCCCCGCCACACTCTGGAGGTAAGCAGTGCTCTGTTCTGCTTTTCCCATCTACTGAGGAAGCTTCAGGGCAAGGCCAAGAGCATAGGGACTGCTAGTGCGTCTGTGAGTTACCCTCAAAGCTTGGTAACTCAAGCTTTAGATTCTGTCCTCTGAGTGGAACATAAGAAACTCTACAAAAGTAGTCCATCCAGAGAAGCTGATAAACATAACTTACAGATTCTAACAAAGGATTTTAAAGGCAAGAGAGATCAAATTCATTTTGATTATGTAACAGCACTGACAGTGCTGACACAATTATCGTTTGTTACTGAAATTTTGACCTTGACACACAACTTGGAGTCTATGCACTCTCTCCACTTTCTCTCTCTCTCTCTCTCTCTCTCTCTCTCTCCCCCTCCCTCCCTCCCTCCCTTCCTCCCTCCCTCCCATACACACACACACACACACACACACATATTAATATATGCTATTGAACATTCCTGTAAGTATCTAATATGTACACACTATCTTCAAAAAGTTCATGGAAAGTGCATATCATGAAAAAATTCTTCAAGGCTGTCAAAAATTTTTGGTACCAGAATGATCTTACTTTTAATTTTTTTTATGAGCTGTTTGAAGTCTCCTAGTAGATGTGAAATGCAATGTGTGTGTGTGTACCTCTACATCATCTTCACTGGGGCATTGGAATTGCAGATGTGGTGCTACATAAGTATAAACTGAAATACGTTGGTCTGAAATACATTGGTGTAAATTGAAATGTGTTGCTAGAAATTCAGAAGCTTAACAAAATAGCTACCAAGAGTGAAAATGAACTTCAGCACTTAAGAAAATAATTTAATTAGCTCCCCAGTATGAGGCTAGAATGCTGGTTTGATTTGCTTCTTGTGCTCACTCTTGCAACTTGGTCACTTATGGGAACACAGTGGACATTATTAATATATAAATCACATTTTTCAGAGAAGCAAACACTTATCGCTGTAGAGAGGATGAGAATCATTGAGAGATAAACAAGTTAGAAAAGATCTTTTTGACCAGGATGAAACTAGTAAAGCTTCATCAAATAAAAAGATTCTGGGCCTTCTTTGTTCTGTGATATACAACCAAAGTCCCTTTCCCCCAATATCCTGTGGGTTTCAGTTAAAAATACTCACTGCTATAAAACAAATATTTCCCATTTTCAACACCTGTCCATATGAAATGTGTGACCCATCTGGATATGGGGCTTAGTCACAGATGTGGTTGGCATCATGGTGGTCAGTATGAGTTTAAATTAGGCTCCCTGATTTATTTTTTAAAGATTTATTTATTATTTATTTTGTCTTTGGAAAATATTTTAAAAAGTTTATTGATAGAAGGAGAACAGATTTTATGTATTTCATAGGTACTGTTATAAGATCATCATATTTCCATACATCTCCTATCCCTCCCACAATCCCCCTCCTTCCTTCCTCCTTTTTTCTTTGATTTTTGCAATGACATAATTTTAATCCAATCTATAATCACAGGATTAATTTACTATAAACTATAATATTCAACAAGAAAAAGTAGGAAGAACACAGTTCCACAAGAGTATAAACAAGGGCTATAAAAACCAATCATATCACAAGGTGTCTGATTCATTCTAATACATTTTTTTGTGTTCTGTATTAACTGCCACATATCAGAGAAAACATATATTTGTCTTTTTGGACTGGTTTATTTCAAGAAACATAAAGATTCCCAGTTGCAGCCAGATTGTTGCAAAAGTCAGGATTCTGTTCTTTCTTATAGCTGAATAGTATATATACCACGTTTTCTTTATCCAGTCATTAGCTGATGGCCATCTGGGTTGATTCCATACCTTAGCTATTGTGAATTGAGCTGCAGTTGAAAGGCAGAGTAACAAGAGATTGGGAGGTGGAGGAGAAAAAGGTCTATCCCTGATTCATGACCCAAATGACCACAACAGCCATAGTTGGGCCAGGCTCAAGCCAGGAGCCAAGAACACCAACCAGGTCTCCCACATGGGTGGCATGGGCCCAAGCACTCAGGCCATCTTCCACTGCCTTCTCAGGCGTGTCAGAAGGAAGCTGGATCAGAAATGAGCCAACTGATGCTTGAACTTGTACTGTGATGTAGAATACCAGCGTCACAAGTGGCAGCTTAGTGCACCACCACAGTGCTGTCCCCACCCCCATTCCCAGTCTAGTTCAGTAGAGTACATTTTGCTGGAATCTTGAAGTTCTGGAGGAACTTTCTCTTTGGAGGGTGGCTTAGTCCCTTGATTGCAAATACAATGTTGACTCCATTCTCATGAAGATTCCTTGTGGTGGCAAAGTTGGCTTCTGGCAATGCCAAGCTTGTGTGGGTCTTCATTCTAAAGATTAGTCAGCTAGACATTCTGTTTAGCGGCAGCTCCCCAGTCTAATGGGATCATCTTGATTTACAGTGTTATCCAGGCAGCTGAAGGCTAGAGTCAGCGTCACCTACTGGCAAGCTTTGGAATGAGAAAGAAGCAGGTCCCCCCCCCCCCCCGCCATAAACCCCCAAATAAAGGTTTGATTATGGGGAAAAAAGGGGAGATGTATGTATTAGGTAGAAATCACAAATGACTAAACTATAACTGATCAGAACATATCAGAATAATTTAAATGATATGGGTTCAAAGTAGCATAAAAGTCCTAGATGTCGCTCCCCCTCTTCGTGGAGGAACGACACAGGACCCTGCGCTGTTCTTTTGTCTGCTCGGCCCTCCCCGGGTTTGCTGCTGGTTCTTCCCGGGTTGGCTACTGTCCCTTCCACCTCCGTGGAAGGGCAGTTCCCCCTGGCCACATTCCCCACTTCCGCAGGGGAGCGGCACACCGCCGGCCGGCTCTCTGGGGGCTGCACAGGTGTTCCCCTTAGATGTTCCCCTTAGATGTTCCTGGTGCATGCCGTCTCTCTCCTCCTTTATAGTCCTCCTCCGCCAATCCTAACTCGGCTGCCCACACGCCGAGTACGCTGCTCTCCTCCAATCAGGAGCAAGTCCTACAGTTTATTAGCTGAACTGGAGGCAGCTGTGTAGAAGCTGTTTACTTCTCTCCAAGCGCCATATTGTGGGAGAGCAGATGCATAGAATAAGTCTTAATTCCAGTAACAGTCTAGTCCGGTTTGCTCCCCACACTAGATGATAGTATTGTCTGTGAAGTGTTTTGCATGTGTTGACACAAATAAAAGTACTGATTGAATGATCTTTTTTTTTTAAAGATTTATTTATGTGTTGGAAGTCAGAGTTACACAGAGAGAGAAGGAGAGGCAGAGAGAGAGAGAGAGGTCTTCCATCCTCTGGTTCACTCCCCAGTTGGCCACAACGGCCAGAGCTGTGCTGATCCAAAGCCAGGAGCCAAGAGCCTCCCCCAGGTCTCTCACGTGGGTGCAGAGGCCCAAAGACTTGGGCCATCTTCCACTGCTTTCCCAGGCCATAGCAGAAAGCTGGATTGGAAGTGGAGCAGCTGGGTCTTGGACCGGCACCCATATGGGATGCCAGCACTGCAGGCAGTGGCTTTAACTGCTACACTACAGTGCCGGCCCCTGACTGAATGATCTTTAAGTGTTCGTGTGAGTTGATAGTTTCATCATAAGCGGGGGGTGGGGGGTGGGGGGGACTTTCGATTGGGTAAGTCTGCCTTCAGTGGAAATTCTGCATAGTCTGTTGAATGAAACATGTTTGAAAAGGTGCATTTTCTCTAATGTCATGAATAAGAGAACTGTTCGCCAATTGCAGCCATCCTGTTTAATGATATCCTGATTTGTCATTGCCTTGGATGATTTCACATACTTCCTTCGTATTTAAAACACCAGGGGCGAGGTGCTTGCAGAATTCAAGTGAGATTTTAGGTGAAGAAAGAAAAAAATAAATCTCCTAAGATATGACACATTAGCACTTAAGAACTCAGAGCATGTACAGAAGAGCAGATAGCACTGACCCAAAACATACCTCCCTTGGTGCTAGATGGTACAGGAAGGTGACCAGAGCTAGGGGGTCGTATAAAACCTGGTTCTCATTGATCCCGGTTTCCTTAATGCTGCACCCAATGGCCCAACGTCAAGACGTGTTTATAACAGGCAGTCAGGAAATATCGACTGGACAGATGAACACATTCATGAAATGAGTAAATGAATCCTTTTTCAGATTTGGTCAGCTATAAATGCTTTTTGAAAATTCACTGGCACCTTAGTTTCTGGAGGTGGAGGAAGCATTTAACAAACAAAATGTCCTCTGTGCCAACCAGCAACGTGTAGGCACTGACAGATCAGCATAAACCCTGCCCACTGATGCTGTTGACCCCAAGACTTTAGTTCAATAGAGGGTGTGAGCCGGGGCAGGGAGCAGCTGAAGCCATGACTCCAGGGTTTATCAGAGCAGGCATAAAAGGGTTCTTCGGAGAGCTCATGGCCCAGGTACTGGTTAGATCAGTCATCTCCCACAAAGTTCCGTGATACTTGTAGGACATGGGTTTGGGTGTCTCTGTCTCCACTGGTTTTTTTTAAAGATTTATTTATTTATTTATTTGAAAGTCAGAGTTACACAGAGAGGAGAAGCAGAGAGAGAGAGAGAAAGAGAGAGAGAGGTCTTCCATCCGATGGTTCACTCCCCAGGTGGCCACAACAGCCAGAGCTGTGCCAATCCAAAGCCAGGAGCCAGGAGCTTCTTCCAGTCTCCCACGTGGGTGCAGGGGCCCAAGGACTTGGGCCATCTTCTACTGCTTTCCCAGGCCATAGCAGAGAGCTGGACAGGAAGTAGAGCAGCTGGGTCTCAAACCAGTGCCCATATGGGATGCCGGTGCTTCAGGCCAGGGCATTAACCCACTGCGCCACAGCACCGTCCCCGGTCTCCATTGTTTTGTATGAATGTTACTGGCTTCTTCTTTTCTCCGTGGTTGAAAAGGTTTACATTTGTTACTTTCTGATTACTAAAGAGGCAATCCTGTTTTATTCATGTCATACCCCTTCCCACATCAGTCTCACAGAGGAAGCACAGAAAGTAATAATAATAATAA